TTAAAACATAACATGAAACGAACCCATTTCATTTTGTTAATTCGAATGTTCAGCTTACCAAAATGATTTCGTTTTGTTTCGGCGCCTTGCTATCGAAACGAAATGAAATCGCTAATGAATTGAAACCGCACAAAGACGGCGTTCATGCTTTCGTTTCGGGTAAAAACGAAATAAAATTTCTTTTCATAACGATAACATTTCCAAATGTTTCAACCGAAATGATAGACATTTTTTGATTAACGAGAAATTCAACGTTACTTTGCTGCTTGGTTTACTAAAAAAAAGAAGCCTTCAAAATTGTGTATTTTGTTACTAATGCAATTGGATTGAAAGTAACTTTGAAAAGTAATTTCTTAGATCCGAAAAGTTTTCCAAGGCTATGCATGAACAAAGTGAAAAGGGAGGATAGGAGGAGCTAAAAACCGAAGCGCTGAAAGAGCGATGTAGTAGGCTTCGATTTTTGGGAAAAAAGCGCTGTCGCAAACTTATTATATTTCAAGGGAGTGACTTTGTCGACCTGACGGTGATCCCATGACCGGAACGAAAGATTAACATAAGGAACACATGTTAAGCTAGCAAAAAGTTAGTTCCTACAAATCAATCCTTTGCTCCGATTCTCTACGGTATTAAAACGGTTTTCGGATCGTTAAGAAAACTGAGCGATAGCTTTGACGATTTTAATATTTGCTTTACTTGTTTTAACCATATTCGCTTGATTAGTTGTTGTTATAAAATTATAAAGCATAGTTGCGACGAATATTTCGATAAAATAAAGATTTTTTTTTAAGGTTTATTAACTAAGCTATACTATATAAAAAGTAAAAGAATACAATAAACAAAAATTAGTCTTGAATATTTGGCCTACATTTCATCCCAAGATGAGGACACCTCCTCCTGTCACCCTCATTTGATATAAGTTTGATTTAAGAAGTGGAAAATCCTTTCGTGGAATTGACACAATCAATCGTTTGATGTTTTTTATGAAGGTCAGATTTCTCATAATCCCAATGGAGCAGCAAACTGAAAAGGAAATCTTTGTTCCATCATCGTCACTATTGCTATCACGAATTTTTATTCGTCAGTCCTCTTTGTGCTTTTCAGATATTTTGAACTAAACTGTGGTGTCACCTTTTCTCCATTTTAATGAAAAGGAAAAGTCAGTTGTCGATTATCGTTAAAAATGAGTTAGCGAATCGCATAATCGTTAATGCAAGCGACAGACTCCGCAAGTCTGCGATTCGAAAAATCGTATCGATAAAAGTTACTAAATTCAACTACAGGTCCGTAACTAACTTCCAAAGAAGGAAAATACTCCATGTGTTTGTGCGGACAAAATTATGAAACGTATTTTACCAAATATATCGCCATACACGTGTATGCTCCACTTTTGGTGAATTAAAGAATTTCAAGTAAGTCGAACCATAAATACAATTTCTTCGAACAGATCAATTCCAGAAAGGAGAGCAAGAAAATTAATGTTTTACTTTTAAGTTTCTCTTCCTCATAAGAAGAGTTTATGATGTAGCTCATTATGAGTATTTCTACTAACTTGCACTGCTGCCCACGCGGTTACAGGAACTGACATAGAAATACGAGAGGTGTTCAAAAAATATCGTGAATTTTGTGTTTTTTTCAAAAATTATTTATTTATTCATGAATATCTATTTTGTCCCCTTCAAACTAATCCTTATGAGATATTATACACTTGTGCCAACGGTTTTTCCAATCATCGAAGCACTTCAAAAAATCATTTTTTTTATCTTGTTCAGCTCCTCCTTCGATGCCGTTTTTACCTCGTCAATCGTAGCGTAACGTCGTCCTTTCATGGGCCTCTTCAATTTAGGAAACAAGAAAAAGTCAAAGGGGCCAGATCTGGGGAATACGGTGGCTGTTTTTGGCCAAAAAGTCGCGCACAAGCAACGGTGTGTGAGCAGGGGCGTTATCGTGGTGCAAAAGCCAGTTTTTGTCGACAAAAAAATCGAAATACGATTATACGTAACCCCGCGAAAATTCAAAATTTGCGATACTTTTTGAACACACCTCGTAAGGTGCTAAAAACATTTTAACTAAGACCAGAGCTCGCCCGCGGCTCCGACCGGATAAAATGTTAAATATTCATTTTCTAAAATATATGAAAAGAAAATATAAGCCTTCCACGTATTACCCCAAAAACAAATTTCAGCAAATCGAACTATAAATGTTATACTTTCGGATGGATCGGTCCTTTTGTGAAAATTTCCACTTCATTGATAAGCGAATCGATTCAGACTTACTTCTGGGAGGAAAAATTATTCTCCACGCTAATTTAGGTCCAAATGAAGATTAGTTTTATTAATTATGTTAAAGAGTTTCGAAATGCTTTTGGCGGCCAATTTCAAGTATTGTTGTATTTTGCAAAAATCTCTAACAAACTTATTGCATTTCCCAACATACAATATATATATTCCTTAACAGTTGAAATAATTCAAAACCACAATATAAGCGATTGTTTGTTTTAATTATTTTTTATAAATTGTATTTCAAGTTTGTATGCTTTCAATTAAGGCACATACATATATATACATTAGTATATATATATATTCAAATAAGTATGTATTCTTATATATAGATTGTATATAAGATTTTGATAAGAAAATGAAAATAATTCATTTTAAAAACCGCAATTTGATTTGTGTGTTTTTTTTTTTTTAATTCTTGCACAGTACACAACTACTCATTATGCAACACACACTAACCTAAATTCTGAAAGTCAAATAATTAATATCTTTAGTACAATTGTGGAAATGTCAGAGGCTACAACATATAGTGTGAAAAGGATAAAAAGACGCCAAAAGCGAGTTTTAAATAAAAATACTACAACAAAACCAGCAACGCCGTCAACGCCAACAACTCCAGTCGCAACCAAACAGTCGAAATTATTTATAAACAATCATGTTCTGCACTTTATTTTTGATTTATTAAAAATTGTCACATTGGTAAAGTGAAATTATTTTATGAAGTAATGAAGAATTACAAATTTATATATTTGTTAAAGAATTCCACCAGCTTATGAGTTTTAGATCTGAGAAATATTTGAAGCTTTGCCTGCTTAATTCATAGTCGCACTGATTGGTATCATCGAATTAACACTGTTTTGAATTTATTTCATGCAACTATATTTATGTACAGTGATCTAAAAATTTATTTAACTCTCCAAACACAGATTTTAGTTTGATCAAATGAATATAAAATCAAAGTATGCGTCTAACATATTTATGTGGCCAAAAGTGCACTCGGAGTGACTGACAATTTGGAAAAATTAATTTCCTATGAAATGGATTTTAGCCGAACCAGGACACTATCTTTAAGGGGTTACATAGGTTTTAAAGGCCAAAAAAAAACTTATTTTCTCTAATTTTTTTTTAAAGATACAAAATAAAGTATACAGTTTATTTTGTTTACATATAAAAGTTGTCCACATATTACAGCATTAGATGAAAATTTGAATGAAAAATAGTTGAAGTTAAGGCGTTGGCAGTGTCGTGAAGTAGACCGTCCACAAGAAAGTGCTCGCGCGGTAGTCATGATAACTTTTTCAATTTTTATCTGAAATCTAATATTAAATTTTTTTCTTAAATTAGGTGAATTTTCCTTGTGTCTGAACAAAGAATAATTAAAATTGAATTTTTTTTACAAAAAAAAACTAATTTTTAGCATAAAATTAGATGAAATAATTCCTTCGTTCAGGGACTACAAAAACATGCTTAAAAAAAAGAATTTGGAAAATTTGAGCTCGATCGCTTCAATAGTCGTTGAGAAATTTTGACTACCGATTTCGATAAAGTGGTTTGAAGCAAAACGCGTTTAAAGTTTTATCATCGGTCAAGCCGTGACAAAGACGGCGGACTATAAAACTCTCTTATTTCTGCAGTTTCATCTCGATCAACTTAAAACTTGGGGGAAAATATTCCTGACACTTGTACTTTTGTACAAAAAATTATCAAAAGAATGAATTTTTTGAAGTTTCAAGACCTATGTAACTCCCTAAGTTGGCGGTGCGCGATGCTAATTACCGCGGCCGACTATTTTTATATTGTTCATTATTTTCGCGTCCTTTCCCCTGAACACCCTGAATATTTTTAAACATATATGGTTTTCTTTTAAGGGGCACACCTAGTGTGAAATCTAAAAAAAATCGATCTTATCATATTTCGGTAGATTACACTTTTAAAAACATCATATTAAAATTTCAAATCGTTATCTCAAATAATTTTTGAGTTATAGCAATTTAAAGAGCAGCCGCCTGGCAGATAGAGAGTCTCATTAGCTACGAGTGAAAACGATCGTTTTATTTTTAAACGCGTTTTTCTCAAAACAGCATTTTCCGAATTTGCTGCAGTGATTACTCAAAAACAAATGAATCGAATTTTTTTACATGTTTTGTATATAGTTCCCCGTACAATGACCTATCGATTTTTGATCTGATTAAAAAATCGAATTTTGGCAAGCCAAAAACGACCAAAATTATTTTTATCAAGGTCATTGTGCAGACAATATTATCTAGTAGAGATTTTTTTTTTGATTTCATCCACGGAGAAGGCCGGAATCACTGCAGCAGAGAAGGACCTTTTTTTCGTGCCGTTGGAGATCGGATATAACTAAAAAAATATTTAATTTTTTTCTTCAAAAACTTCACTGCATATTCTTGAAACATGTATAAATATATTCTTAAAATTTGGAAATAATTGACAAAGTATTTTTGTTAATAAAAATTTAAAAAATAACCTTTTTTAGGCCATTACACTAGGTGTGCCCCTTAAGAGCAAATTATGCGGACGACAATTCCTGCTCATTTTCGATAAGGTTGCTTCTGAAGTGAGACAGATCTTCCTAAGTACCAAAAATTGTCAGGGCTTTCTTTATTCTTTATGAATAACGCATTGTTTCTAATCATAAGAATACCAATATATATTTATATATGTATATTAGAGAAATAACTCATAGCAAAATTTTTATTTTAGGTTACTGGCTTCGTGGGTTCATACACAATCTATATTAACAAGCATTTTTGGAAATCCAAAAAACTAAGGTCTGATAGTAGCATCGCTATCACTGGTTATATATTGGTTTTCATAGCCACAATGGCAAGATTTATACAAATTTACAGGATAGACTTTAAACAATTCCATTTTTTGAGAATGGCACATGAAAAGAGGCTTAGAGGCATGCAAGAAGTGAGTATCAAATAAAAAGTGTGTAACAAAATTCGTTTACTTTATCAGTGTGTATAATTTTACAGTGTAAACAGCAAAATGAGGGAAGAAAACCCAAAAAAGTTAAAGTGAAGTTCGTTCCCCAACAAAATCATTAAAGATTTAAATAACTAAATTAAATACGATAATGAATTTTTTACACTTAAAACAATAAAAGTATTATATATCGAAAATTTATAATATATGCAAAATTAAAATAAATTATATTTTATAAAATGATATAATAAAATAAAAAAAAATAAACAAAATTTAATTGAACCAAATCCAATAAAATTAAATATTATAAGTGTTATAATATTAAATATAATAAAATAAAATAAAATAAGATAAAACGAAACTTTAAATTTTTTACGGGTTTGAGTGGATAAAAGATTATTCCGTTTATATCGAAAAAAAAAGATTGAGATTTTTATGAACGTTATAAATTCGGGTTTTAATGTTGGAACTTCAAGTAATTCATTGATATATAATAAAGATATATAAAAGCTTTGTATATTTATACAAGTATAATGTCAAATTATTCAATTTTATTTTTTTAATTTTCATCATTAAGTTTTATAAATGGAAATAGATATAATTTAAGACAATGGAAGTGCGGGATTTTCTATGTACTCACGTTGGAAATTGTAAAAAGTTTGGTTGGTTATGGTGCTGATGGCTATGGAAACAAGTTAATTTGAGGAGATGATATGCAACTTTTGGCGACATTGGGCAGCCCAGTATTTTGCTCGGTTGAGCACAAAGCGGCGTTGCCACTTGAGGGGGACGGCCACAGAGTACTCCGAAAACTTTCGCAGCAAAAATTAATTAAAATAAAACAAAACAAAATGAAAATAACAAAACTGAATTAACCAAATCAAATAAAATTAAGTAATATTAATTAAATAAAATATAATAAATTAAAAAAAAAATAAAAAAATTAAGTAAAAGTAAAACTTGAATTAAATTATAAATAACTTTAATTAAATTATACATAATAATTTTAATAATTTAATTCAAAATAAATAAAATAAAAAGATAAAATAAACTAAAGTAGAATTAAAACAATGAAATGAACCACACAAAAAAATTAAAAAATATAAAGAAATAAAATAAATTTAAGTTATATTAAAGTAAATAAAATGAAATAAATTAAATTAAATTTAATAATATAAAATCTACTAAAATAATGTGAAAAAAATAAAATTTAATAAAATAAAAAAAAATAATTCAATTAAAATAAACACAAATTAAATTAAATAAAAAAAATTAATTCAATTAAAATTAAAACAAATTAAATAAAATAAAAAATGAGTTTAGTTAAAATACATAAAATATAATCATATATTATAAATATTAAAATATAATCAAATAATTTAAAATTAAACTAAATTAAATATAATATTTTTAAAATCAAATAATACTAAATAAAATAAATTTAAAAAAGTTAAATAAAGAATAAAGAAGAATAAATTGAAATGAAATAAAAAATAAATCAGATTAAAATTAAATTAAAAACAAAAATTTAAATAAAAATAAATAATATTTAATCAATTAAAAAACAAATTGAAACAGATCAAAAGTAAATTAAATTAAGTTAAATTAAATTCCTTTAAATAAAGCGAAATTAAAGAAAATAAAATCATACCAAACAAAATACATAAATTGAAATAAAATGAAAACCTTAAAAGCAAAATGAATAAAATAAAGTTAAATAAATTAAAATAAAACAAAAAAAATACAAGAAATAACTAGTAATAAAATCCATTCAAATAAATAAAAAAAATTTAATGAAAAAGTAATATAAATCAAATAATATAAAACGAAAAAAATTAAATAAAATTAAATCAAACAAAATAAAATTCACAAAAGAAAAAAATATAAATTCAATGCTTATAAAGCGAAATAAAATAAAAATAAAATAAATTAATCCTCAAGCGGTCGCGCGGGCATTGTAACGGCAGCCGAAAAACCTATAAGATATATTGCAAAAATAAAACACTTGTTAATAATACTAATTTATGTTATTGTGTTAAGATATACATATGATAATTTTCTTTACACTTAAAAACGTCGAAAGCAAGAAACTTAAATTTAGAAAGAGGCAATTATAAAATTAAATAACATAACCCAATAATATAATTATGCCCGAAGGTATATTAAAAGCGGTCGATTCTACTAAAGTACATAAAATAAAACTAAACAAATTAAAATAATATAAAATAAAAGAAAGCAAACTAAATAAAATCAATCAAAATTAAATAAAAATTAAAGCAATTTAAAGTTTTTTTTAATTTGTATCAAAATAATATGGTTCCTAAATTATTATTAATATTTTTTTTTTTTTTTTTTGAAAAATCCTATTTCTTCTAAAGTGTTTTTTCGTCAAAAATACATATTTAATGCTTTTACCTTTTACCTTTTTACTTTACCACTTCGCATACACTTTTAAATGCATAAGAAAAAACAAATTTTAGTTTGTAATGATTTTTATCTGTGTTAAAGAAAAAATAGAACATTTGTTTATTCATTACAAATAAAGTTTTACAAAAAAGTAATTACGTTCAAGTATTTGTTTATAACAAATAAGCAAACAAAAATGTCCATATGTTAAATGTTAAACGCGAGCGCAAACATTTGAGTGCGTCCAAACACGTAAATATGTATAAGCTCATATGTGTGCCGTGATAATATTAGAGACGGTGCATATAATATGTGGTTACCAGGTTGACTTATTTGAAAATGTGGTAAACTAAGTGAATAAGCAAACGGACTAAAATAAGCGAATAAATAAAATTAAGTAATATTAATCAAATAAAATATATAAAGAATTATTGAAAAAAATAAATACGTTAGCAAACCTAAAATAAAATAAAAATAAATAAAATTGAATAAAAGTAAAATTAAGCAGTAAAAAAAAAATAAAATCAATTGGAAATAAAGTAAAACTTAAATCAAAATATATACATTAAAATAAAATAAAATATATAATAAATATAATAATTTACTTAAAAGTTATATTAAATATAAAAAAATAAAGCTAACTAAGTAAAATAAAAATGAAATACAGCCAAAATAAAACACAACAAAAGAAAGGAAAATAAAATATATAGAATTGAAAAATTTAAAAAAATTTTAATTAAATAAACAAATTAATTAAAATAAAATAAAATATAATAAACTTAACTAAAAAATATGAAAAACAAACAAAAAAAAATAAAAAATACACAATAAGAAAAATAAAATAAAACAAAATAAATAATAAGATAAAATAAATTAGATTAAAAATAAATTAAATACAAAAGCTAAAAAAAATAAATTATGGAGAATAAAATAATATAAGAATTAATACAGTAAAACCAAACAAAATTAATTTAAGTTTTAATAAATTTGATTAATATAAGTAAAGCGATTTAAATAAAATAAAATGAAATCAAACACAATAAAATGAAATAAAATCAAAGAGAAAAATGCATAAAAAAATTAATTCAAATAAATAAGAACTATAGAATAAGTAAAATAAAATAAATTAAATTAAAAAAATTAAATAAAACGCAAAAAGTAAAGGAGTTAATTGTGGTATGTTTATTTAATTATTATAATATTATTAATAATTGTAATAATAATTTTACTTAGAATCGGTAGAAATTAAGTAAATGAGAATTGTTGCGCTCATTATATATACATATTACATTTTAGAGAAATTTTAATTACAAATAATTCCTAATAATAATAAGTCTTTACATGTGTTTGCCTGTTTCACACCACACTTTCCCTTATGCATACATATATATTTATGTATGAAAGTGCTGATAAAAGAATTTTTTTCTTTGCTGGTCACTCTAATACGAATAAAAATTTAATAATTTTATTGACATTTAATCAAGTGTGTGAATGATGAGAGTACACTTGAGTTCTCCGAGAGCACGTGAGTGGCGTGAGAGCTATTTAAGTGCTTATAATTATATACGTGTGTGTGTGCGTTGCATAGCTGAACCACATTTGATAAGAGAAAATTGCGGTTTGTATTAAAAAGTTGTGTAAAGAAAGTTGGTATTGTTATTGAAAACAATTAAAAAAATATAAACACAATGAAATATTCGAATAAAGGCGGAATACGTTGTTGTTGTATTTTAGATAAACATCCACAGTGTTTTAGATTTTAGTTTCAACTCATTCGCAACGAGATTTCAGCGCACACATTGTTGTTTTCACCAACAGCACACAAAAAAATACACATATGCATACAGATATGTATGTATGTTTGTCCAGAATTTTATTTTATTCACAATATATACAAAACGGTGTGTGCGGGAATTTGGAAATAACAAATAATCATCAGCGAAAGATGCGTGAGTAATACTACTTGGCCGGTTAGTTGCTGTAGAGCATTTCATTGGTGCGGGTGAGTTCTGTGTCCGTCTGCTTTTATTTTCGCATTGCGTTATGTCGAAACGTGCAAAAGATACAAGTGTTCCGAATTTGATAAGACTGAATGAATAATATTACATACAAAGTTTAGGCGGTCACTTTTACTTGTGATAACTACAATAAAGAGACTGCAACCGTTTCAAGTGTGAAAGGAGAGAAGTGCAAATAGCTCCAGCTCTCAGTGACAAACTAACTTTAATATACTTCTTTGCTGGAACAGTTATACACACATACATACATACATACAAACAAACAGTATGTTTTCAACTTCCGGCTACGATCGGCTTTATGCCAGAAGCACTTCCGGTTTAACGAAATTGCTCTGTATGGTAAGCAAATGCCACAAAGCGCAACAGTGATTCAATATGTGTATTCATTTTTTCTTTCTATTTTCTGCTACAAAAATATTTCTATTCATTTCCCAATATGTACGTGTAGCTCTTTGCTTTAGCTGGCATTCTGTGCATCGCACTCAGCTCAGCGCCCGTTACCAATTTGCGTGGCCTCATCTACATGTGTGTTATGGCATGCGCTTGCCTCAGCAGCGCATTTGTGTTTGCATGTAATTTTTGCGAGATGCATCCGTGTAGTCGCAGTCGTTGTTGTAATAAGTCCACGTTTGAGTTATACCTTCATCTCACATTGACAGTTACTTGTTTCCTTGCCTCTTCAGCTGTGTTGACATTGGCATTGGTGGCGTACTCTGTGGCAGCGGTATGTAGAATTGCAATGTATTTACTTACATATATTCTTATGTTCATTTTTTTATATTTTTGTTCACAGTTCTTCGGATATCTGACATTCTGCTTGTATGCGCTGGAGGCTTGGAATAATTTTAGGAGATATCGTCAGCGTGATATGAGCACACAAACTTTATAGTAGGCATGAGTGTGTTCGAGTGAATGTTGCCTGTTATCAAACGGTATTTTTGTTCCATATTAGGAAATATGTTTTTGTTAAAACATAATGATTTTCATATTATTCTTCCGCCGTATGTTTGCATCTAAAATATTGTATGTTTCGTGGACTCAATAATGACTCAGTAGTAAATTTTTATATTTGTTGTAAGCACGTACGATATTACTTTTGAATCATAGAATGGTATTTCAGTGAATAGCAAAGTCCGAAAGCATTCGAGCGATTCTTAATGTGAAGGGAATGTCATGCATTTTTCAGCTTTATGCAAGCTTGCAACCTGAATTTTGTTGTAATTACTAGTAATATGTATTCCCTCTATGATCTTCTATGAGAAAAAATCTTAAATGTATAATCGCAAATGGCCAATGATATTAACTTCTTTAAAATGTTTACTAAAAATGTTTCTATAGCTTTAGAAAAAATTGTAATTGTTTAAATAAAAAAACTGACTAAAAGTTTTTTTAGCTGTTTAGAATAGAGTTACCGTGTACTAATTAAACTTTAATTAAAAAATGATTTTTTTATATCGTACGAAGATTTTGAATGCATACATAATTTATTTTAATTTACTTTTGGTTCTAGGCTAAAAGAGATATTCTAAATTGAAGACGATTGCTTTTGGTGTGAAAGTTTTTTTTTTGGTTCGTTGTATATATGTATATATATAAAATACTCATAATTAGTAAAAATGAAGAATAATAATGTTTATATGCAAGCAAAATATTGGTTATAGTTTAGTGAATTTGCAAAATAGCAAACAATTCTCTGTCAAAAATATGTATGTAAATACAAATTAAGTTAAAAACTCATTATTGATTCAGCTTTTACCTATAAATACGAAACGATTGCTGAACAAAAATTTATAAACTGAAGATCTACTCTATGACGATTGATAATATACATATACTATATATACCTGTAGTCAAAATAATAGCAGTGCCAAGCACAAAAAAATTGCAAGTAAAAAAAAAAAAGATTTTCCAAATTTTTTTTATAAAATTAACTTTTTTATTGCATAAAACGGAACTTAAACTTGAAACGCAATGTAAATCAATCTAAAGGTGTTAGGTGTAGTCAAAATAAATCCATTATTTTTCCCATAGATGGCGTTATTTATCTGTATCTCGCGTTGTATAAGTCGGATTGGGTTCCGGTAGATGCCGTTATAAAGATGGCATTTCATACTAAAAAAAACTTTTTTGACAGTTTAATGATTTGTTGATTTACTTTTGTATGATTCTGCGTCAAAGGTGGACACTAGCAAAGAGAAAATATGCAATATTTTACAGTTTTTTCGCTAAATCAGGCGGCTGAAAATGTGAAAAACGTTTATGGTCCTGATACTGTCACCATCTATCATGTACAATTTCTTATGTATCCACGTTATAGCCCGGACTTGGCACCAATGTGTTACCATGTGTCCTGTCGATGACGAGTGGAGGGGCTTGTGGACTCGACTGTCTCAATTTTTCACCAATAGGAACGTGAGCTTCTACAAGTGAGAGACATAATGAAATCACCTGTAAAATGGCAAAAAGTTTTCAAACAAAACGGCGCATATTTGACCAATATCGGATCACTTTAACTATGGTAACTAAAGCCTTTGATTTCAATCAAAAATAATGGGTTTCTTTTTACTACACCTAACATCATTTGAAATTCTTATAAAATTAGTTGTATAGCAAGCAGTCAAAATAGCATATAAGGTACCAATTTATTTAATTAGCATTTTTATGAACTCAAAACCTTATTAGTATTAAATAATTGTAAAATAAATTAGATCCATTTAAACTACGATGCATCCACCAGATTTTGTAAATTTTCTTATTTATTTAGCATGTCATGCTCGCCAAAGATCGCTGTTGTTGGTCGTCCTTGTAAGCCAATCTGCTTATTTAATGTCTCGTTACGAATCCACAATATGATTGAGGCCCACACACTGTATTGGGCAAGCATCACCTTCCCTTTATCGAATATTTCGACATATTTTTTAGTCTTCATTATGTTAGTTGCACGGTACAAAACAATTATACCCGATCAGTCATACACGATATTTAAAGTGTTTCGGGGATCATACTCAATATTGGGTTTTCACCAAACGTATTCTTTTGTACCTTTTTCGACAGAAAGAGTAATTTTACTTTCGTCGGTCCAAAGAATATTCGGCCTCTTTTCAGTGGGACATGCAAATGTTCTTACACAAAGTTCAATCTGTGAATAATGATACACTTTTTCTTTAATGTCCTGGATTTTTATTAGACAAAATTACTGTGTTAACCTGCTTGGAATGGTTTCGGCGCTTCTTTTTATTCCGAAGTCTGTCTTCTGATCCTCAGTTGTTGTCAACGAATTATTTTGATTATGCCGTACTCTTTTAAATACCCTTCGGGTTTTTCAATGGGACAATATTTTTCTCTTAATTTTCTTTCAGTTTTTCTCTATTTCTCTTCAATTGACTTCCTTTTCGTAGAAAGCATGTACTTATTACACTAACATTTTTCGAAAGACTGCTAATATTTTGACTGCTCATTAGTGATGCTAGTTTATAGTAAAAAATAATATAAAAAGTACCGTAAGGTTGGAAGAATTAAAAAAAGAATCTAATTTTCTGTCACAAGTCCACTTCCTGGAGAATTATTTCCTCCAAATTTAAAATTTGTATCAGATGTACAACTTTGCTTCCGCCGTTTTCCGATAGGTGGCTGTACCGGCTGAGGCTGGTTGATATACATAGATGATAATGCCTTTAAAGTGAGTGTGGACAGTGCCTAACGAATTGTCATCGCCGTTTCTTGTTTTCATATTATTCACACTCGAAAATGACCGTTTATGTGCCTAATTTTCGCCATTTGCGGGAAGTTTTACTTTTCTGTTACAATTCGAAAAAAAATGCAGCTGAAGCGCATCGAATGCACTCAGAAACTGACGGTGATGCTGATCTGAGTGAAAGAACGTGTCGGGATTGGTTTCAACGTCTTAAAAATGGTGATTTCGATGTCGGAGACAAACAAGGTTATGATTTGTATTAGGTGGGATCAGCTCGGTGTGATTTACTACGAGCTCTTAAAACCGGGTGAAACCATAACAGGAGATCGCTACTGAACGCAATGCACCTTAGTATCGCGCTAAAAGAAAAGCGGCCACAATATCAAGAGCGACATGACAAAGTCATCCTCTAACACGACAATGCTCGGCCTCACGTCGCAAAAAGTGGTCAAAAAGTACCTGGAAACGCTGAAATGGGAAGTCTTGCCCCACCCGCCGTATTCCCCAGATGTCGCCCCTTCTGACTTTCACCTATTCCGTTCGATTGCACACGGCTTGGCATATCAACATTTTCAATCCTTCGAAGAATTGGAAAAATGGATTGATTCATGGATACATGGATAGCGTCAAGAGAGGACTCCTTTTTTCGAGCCGGGAAATTGCCGGAAAGATGGGACAAAGTTGTCGCTAGCGAAGGACTTTGAATAATATATCTGTAAGACCTTTCTCGCAATAAGGCTTTTAATTTTGGAAAAAAGCGGCGGAAGCAAAGTTGTACTCCTGCTTTGATCAGTAGTTTAGGCTGTGAGTTGATGAATCAGAGATATTGAAAAGTGAAAATAAAAAAAAAAACCATAACTGGGAGTTAGCTTTAACTGCTGACAACTTTAGAACATATGGTATACATATATATATATATGAAAATATAAAATAAATGTAATAATTAAAAAATGTGCCTAAGAACAATACTTCAAATATGACAATATCATAATATATCTGTCACCAGACACGCTTAGTGTCAAAAGTTTCGATTTGAAATTATCTTTAAATATGTATCAGATAGAGCTTCTGGTTTATAGAACCCAAGGTTATGAAAAAAGCGAAATCATATGTTTAATGACGAAGTTGATTCAATTTGTGCGTTGCCGAAGATTTTAAAAAAATTTTCATAATTTTATCTATAAAACAACTTAACATTTTGACTATAAAACTCTTAAGCCTTGGTTTATATTTTTTTTTTTTAGAATTAAAAATATTCATAATTAAAACGTTCTGAATAGTTTTATGTATATATTTTAATTATCAAAAAATTTTAAATAAATAAAATTAATATTATTTAAATGTGTATACCCAGCAACTCTAACATTTATGTCATATATTACGAATGGACATCGTGATATAAGTTTTTGAACTGAAAACTTGAAATTTTGGTAATAAAAAAATCGGATAGTTAAATATTAATATCATTTATTTGTGTCCGAAGAAAATATTTAATTTCTTTTACAGGTACTTAGGTAAGACTCTTATTCAAATTTGGTAGTCTTCGGCAACACGGACCATGGTCTCATCAAAACAGGCCACGCCTTGCACCGTCCTCATGTAAAAAGTCGACAAATCTGTGACTGCGCTGGCGTCGCCAAAGAAAATAAGTCATTTCTTTTGTATAAGAAAATTTTTCCCATAACTATTTTATTAGCATCAAATACATACACATATTTTAAAGGAAAAAATGACTGTTTTTAATAATAAATATATATTTTATATGTTCATCATATTTTCATCATTGGGTTGAAAAGTATGTATGTTCATAAAAATTATTTATTACATGTGCCAACAAAAGCAGCAAAACGGGGTTTTTTGAGCAATTCGAATTTTGTGGACATTTAATTACCAGTGTTTTAAATTATGTATTGAAAATCCAAAAAAAAAAAATAAGTAATATTACCACATGATTTATAAATAGTTGCAAGTTAACTCAATCAATAAAGATTTGTAGATCTCCTGAAAGTTTTAATGTTTTTCTTAGTTAATTCATCAAAAGGTGGGGACTGTTATTTTTTCCATAAACAATTTGTATTTGAATGTAAAAAATATTTTATAAAATAAGAGTAAAACTTATGAATAAAATTCGTATATATATATATATATATATATATATAACAAAATGAGCTCGTTTGAAATACTTCCAGTTAAGACATCGTACAGAAATTTTCAACAAAAATCTAGAAATTTATTTTGATATCGACAATAAAATGTATCGTATTACATTTAACCTTTAGTTCCCATATGAACAAGCGTAACAAATTATGTTTTTTCTAGATTTTAATATTATTTATTTATTTTCTATATTTGCCCGCTTAATGAGAAGGCTAATGGTGCTCTAGGTTCAGGAATGGAATTAAATATATAAAAAAAGCTAAAATGGAGAGTATGGAACGAAAAAATCAGAGAACTAAAATTTAAAATGGTTTCGGAGCTTGAGAGCAATCTACTTAATAAAATTGTATTTGTAGCAATACGTAGATGGGCATAATAACTGGACATTGTTTAATGGCGCTTCACGGCTACAGGTATGGAAAAGAGAAGGAGACCATCGAGCACTACCTCTGCCAATGTCCAGCCTTGACATTAGCGCGATACAAATTTCTTGGGAAACATTTCTTCGATTGTCGCTCTAAGGCAACCTCAGCGAATATTGCAAATCTGGTTGCCTTTATAACGCACACGAAATGGCTCGATCATCTGAGAAGGTGAAAGCAGGAGCCTCAGCGGTATCAAAATGGACCCATTCGTCTAAGTTTGCTGGTAGCAGCAGCCACTTCAACTCAACTCAACTCAACTCAATACGTAAACTTTTCTAATGTGTTGTTGTCTAAATTTTTTAAAATATTTGTTTTTCGATTCAGGAACTACTTCCAAAAACTATTTTATCGAAACAAGCGCATCAGTTATTATTTTAGGAGCATCCACTAGAACTTTTCAGATGGAAGTACCATGGAGACAATTTAATGAGTTCTTTTAAGGTGTCAAGTGATTTTTTACCTAAGTCATCAACGTTAATTCTATACACAGATGCCACGCATTGCAGTAATGTTGAGCACTTGATTAAAAAAATTTCTTCCAGTCCCGTAATTTACGCAGACAATTTCGAACTTTTCAAAGATGTTCTTGTCGTATTATCGGCCTTTG